CACTGTTCGTCACTGTCCTGCCTGTCCAGCTCAGCAGAACCAGGCCCCTGAAGGGTGCAGATGTTCACACTCCTGAACACCGTGCAGGCAAATCCCTGCAGTCAAAGCTCCTTCATTTCTAAAACAGAAAGTTACCTTCTGCTGACCGCACACACCTCTTAAAAATCACGAGGAACACTGTCAACAGAAGGATGAATCACACCAAACCACTCGGGGAGACGTTTTCATTTTTTTTAAAAAATCAAATCGTGTCTAATAACACCTTAGAAAATGGACAAGCCAGTCCACAGGGCTGCTCTCGTAAAGCAGACTGCAGCAGAGCACCTCGGAACGGCACGGTGTTGTTATGAGGTGTTATTGAATTAATAATGTCAGACTCTGATTAGGGAAGGGCTTTAGTTTTGCTGAACGCGGTAAATTATATAACACAGGTGAGAGATTACGGCCCGCCGCAAGGAGAAACGCGCCGTGACCGTGGGTCTACGCTAACTAACCCCTGTAGCCCACTGCCCGTGTAATGCATATTGCCCAATACAAAGCAATTCTACCCCCTGGGGTAACTGGAGACCCTTTCACGCACTAACATCTCAGTATCTTGCAGATGGTGGTGGCTCATTCTTCTCTTCTACGGGAATGTTCAAATAATGCAATAAAAGACTCACTTTCTAAAACCCTAACGGTGCGCATACAGCGAGTTAACGGGAATACGTCACGCGCAGTCCCGCATCTGAGAAATTACAGCGCCGACCGACTCCCGGTCACATTCACGAGGGAATGAAGCTGCTCACGGCAAGAGTGCAAGCGGAAAACAGGATATCTAATTCCAGGAGCAAACAGACCGCCCATCTGACTTTTTTTTTTAAATATATTTTTCTATTTTAGCCATTTTTTCCCCCGCATCCACACGGTTCGAGCACACGGTTCCGTCCCGCTACAGTGAAGACCCCCCCGGCTGTGATGAGAGGGCACCCTGTGCGCCCGGAGGCAGGGGATCCACCGACGAGCCCAGCGCCGCACCGCCACTCACCTCTCGCTGACGAGCACCACGTCCGCATCGCTCCAGCGCTTGAAGCAGACGGGTAAAACTTTTCTGCACAAGTAGAAGACACCGGGGAAAAAGAACGCGCCGCTCAGCAGCACATGCAGCATGTCTGCTTTATTCGTTTGCGCTCTTTTTAAACGAGATACGGAAGACGGAACAGGGTTTGTTTTTCAAACAGCGCTTCTCATGCCGGTGTCCTCCTCCCGCTGTGAGAGGGCTGCATCAGTACCCCGGCTGCTCTCCGCACAGGCACGCTGGCTCTTCTGCAGCAGCAGCAGCAGCGCGGTGTCGGAGAACCTCGGGGATTGATTGCTCTGTCTGGTGGCGCAGAGCCGGCGCGTTCCTCGCAATAACAACAGATAGAGGGAACACCGCACAACCACCCCGAGCTTCCTCTTAATCCGTGCCCTCCGTAACAACCCCGCTGTTGTGCAAGTCGGCCAAATACATAAAATGGGCGTCCAATGGAGCTCTGCGCCCTTGGTGTAATATTAACCACGCACGCAGCGTCTTCTCTCTTACGCCTGCTCCACTCATCATTCACTCGGCGAGCATCCACCTGCCCTGGTTCGGTCCCCAGAAGAGAGCGGTGTCTCGGCCGAACTCGGAGAGTTCTGCGGCACAGCGCCCCCTAGACCTGCAAGGACCCTCCTGCGAAGCAGGAATAGACCCCGCCAAGTTTCACAGTGCGGGAAATGAACGCGTATTTTTAGGAGGATGCCTATTTTAAACAGCGTATTCGTTTACCCAAACCCGGCGTTTATCAGGTCAGTTCACCATCTTCGCCTTTGCTGTCCCTACTAGACCCTCGCAAAGCTGTTCTCGTTGAACTGCGAGTAACGAGCTGGCGTGCACTTCGGTGGGACAGATACACGCTGTTATGTGCTGTACTGTGGCAATGACCTCACATTCCTCATATTGTCAGGCAGGACAGGGGAAATGGGAGCAATCAGTCATATCACAGCCCTGTTTAAAACACAGAAGGAATCAACAGCTCTGCGAAGTTTTGCCATTCTGTTCATTTAGTGCTGGGATGATGCACGTGCTTGTCCAGGCTGGGACAGAGTCCACCCTGGCGTGGCTCTCGGAGCTGTAGATCGTGTTGCTTGGCGTGGAGTCGCAGACGATGCCAAGCCCACGGGCCTCCCTGCTGAGCAGTGCTCACCAGCACGGATTTCCCTGTGTCATGTCTGGTCAAATCAACATCAGTGCCCTTGATACAAACAACCTCATCATAGTTATCAACTTTGGGAATTTGTTGAACGAAATGTCAAAGGTCAAAGAAGACGTGGTGTGACGTCCCCCTGCCCGGAGGAACGCAGTGACCACACGGGAGACAGGACGTGCCTGCCTTTCACACAGCGCACATTGTGACTTCTGGAATTTCCGCAAGGCTTTTCCTGTGGAGAAACTCCGGCTGCCGTTCCCCGACCTGTGACTGGTGCGGACTGTGTGGTGTGACAGCTTAATTCCTGAGGGAGGCGGTCTCTCCGTGACGACAGCACAGGCTCCCCTTTGTTCTGAAACTCTTCACAGCCAGGGCACAGAACGCTTAATCCCAGTGAGACCTTGGTTCACTTTCTTACTGTTTATCATCTGTCCTGAAATTACGCCACACTGATGGCTTGAATGCTGCTCACACAGTCTCAAGATTCCCGAAAAGTCACTGTGCAGATAGGAATGTTCATTCGACATCACACACAAAGCAGTAATGTGGAGTTTTTCTTTACTATAGACCCACAGTCTGTCTCAGGGCTCCGACTGAGCCTGTCCTTTGTTATCAGGAGCTGTGATCATTCAGTCCTTACACTTATATAGGACTTTTCTGGACACTCCACTCAAAGTGCTTTACAGGTAATGGGGATCCCCTCCACCACCACCAGGCATTGTCAGACTCTGATCTTGTCACCATGTGGAAGTTCTGGGCTTTTCCTTTTCTCATATTTCTGTTTTCTCATTGCCCAAAGATAAGACCTTCTCGCACACAGGAGCACATGGAGGATTTAAAGCAGCCCCACTGTAAAACCTTCACCATTGACTCATTAACTCCACGGGTCATGATGGAGAGTTCTGGGCTCATCTGGCTGCCATGCAGGTATTACAGCTCTGGCTCTGAGATGCAGCGCAGAAGAGGCAGGAGAGCCGAGGTGTGAAGACAGAGCCTTACCGCAGAGAGAGAGGGGCAGGGAGACACACTGACACTCAGCACTCAACAGTCAACAATCAACGCTCAACAATCAATGCTCAATGCTCAACACTCAACGCTCAATGCTCAACACTGAAGGTTACTTAAAGACTCCCACTTTGCTCCACTTACATTTTGGGTGAGAAACTGTTGTGTGTGGATGCCGACAGTATTACAAATACAAGTACAATTTCTGATATTTGTTTTAGAACTGTGAACATTTTTTTATTTGGATTTTGAAATGTTTTTTTCATTGTTTTGATTGCAAAAAGTCAGTTTGGAAGAACTGACCGAGGCACAGCAGAGTACAACAAGACAGACAGAGAGATCCAGATGTACACAGGCCGTTAGCCAGCGCTCGGCAGATGTCAGCTTCCTGTGATAGTCATGGGAAGGGTCCAGCAGACATCTCTGACCCAGCGCTGCCCTCCCCTGTCTGGCGACAGCGCCTGAGGACTCTGCCAGGTCTGGAGGTCAGTGCCACCAGCTGTGCCTGCTGCTCGCTCAGCACAGGTGGAAAGCCCGAGTGCCAGGCAACCTGACTGCTAAACCCACAACAGCCCCACCAGAAAAGTGCTGCAGGAAGATACGCTATCTACACCTATTTTAAAAAATCTACATTAATTTCATATAGAAAACTCCTTAAAGGAACACTCTCGTTCTGGGGAGCTTTCAAGAGGCAAACAGCCCTAACATACCAGGTGAAAATACATATAGAGGGCGGTGCAGTCAAATCCCGCAGCCGGCAGAGGAATCCTACTCCGTTGGGCCCCTGAGCAAGGCCCTTAACCCCAACTGCTCCAGGGGTGCTGTATAAATGGCTGACCCTGCGCTCTGACCCCCAGCTTCTCTCTCCCTGTCTGTGTGTCTCATGGAGAGCAAGCTGGGGTATGTGAAAAGACAAATTCCTAATGCAAGAAATTGTATATGGCCAAGAAAGTGATAAGCAAAAAAATACAGTCATGCATCACCAGACACCGATCAGAGCCCCAAATCATCACATATCCTGCCTTTTACCTGCACGTCTGCTGGTTGCCGACTTTACCTTCTTGTCCTCCCAGTCCTTAGTTCTGCTGTTTGTGCTCCTCTCCTCGGCACTCCTCTCTGTGTCTGTGAGCATGAAGGCTGTCACAGTCACCAGCTCCTTAACCGCACGGAGTGACACCACACCCTCGAGCAGTACCCCCCCCCTCAGCCGCGGGGGTGACCACTGCTGGCCCCCAGCCCACCACAGCGGCAGGAGCCTCAGGCACAAGCGCACCGTGTGTGGTCTCAGCGGCGGTCCCGGCCTCATCCAGCACAGCCGCCGTGGCAACGACAGCCCCCGCCGGCCTGGGAGGAGTGTGGCCTGGAGGCTGCTCCTGGGTGTGTGAGGAGAGCCGCACCTCGGACTGCATCCGGCTGCTGTGGGAGGAAGCTTCCCTGTCGCCGGGGGAGATCGCTGGCGTTGCCGTGGGACCCGTCGCTGGGGCATCACGTATCTACTCTTGTCATGCCCCGCGCTCTCCCTCGCAAACGCCGTTACATTCCCAAACCCGCTGTTTTACAATCTCATTCCCAAACTGAACCCATCACTGTCACGCCCTCTGCAGCCAGAGGGCGCTCCTTCTCTGTCCTGTCCCTACAGTAGTTTCCGGTCTGCTGTCCTTCCGGTCCCTCTCTTTCCCTTGGGCTATATATTTCCGGGTCTTGCTCTCTGTCCTGGCTCAGCATTGACGTTCGGATGTCCTGAGACCCGCCTAGCACCAGGGCGCCCCACGTCCGCTCCCTGAGGGCATAGGTTTCTATATGGCATTCCTGAACTCTTTGCACTAATGAGCCCGGGCCTTTTTCCCGTCTCACTGCTAGGCATATGGGTCTTTTTCCGCTCTCCTGCTCCCCACGGTTAGTCCCTTTGGACGTCCGTGACAATCACATTCCCACAGGCACCAGATTCCAGATTCTCACTCCCGGACCAATTATCCAACCACGTCCCTCTCCCTTCAGTATTTACAGTTCCCTCATGCACCAACTCATGCTCACTATTGAGAAGCCTCCCGTAGTATTCTCTTGTGCGTGTTTCGAACTTTTTTGACTGATCTCCTGGTTCCTGATCTTTGCTCCTGCCCTTTTCGACCATGTTCTTTGGATTTAGTTTTTCAGATGGTCTTTCTCGGATTTCCCTGGTTACCGGACTCATTGCTCCTCCAATCGACCAAGCCCCTGGATTACGTGTTTTGGGTCGTCCCTGTGCTACTCCACTGCAGGATTCAGGGCTACGCAGAAGGAGCCTCCTATTCTATTCTCCTATCAGCTCCCTGACAACTCTCCCTTCAGAGCGTCCGCTCGCACTAGTGAGAGGGGCGTGAAAATCTGCCATCACTAGTTCGAGCTTTAGCTAATTTCCTCAGTACACCAGCAACCAGACCACAGGGAAAGGTCATCAACAGCAAGGACAGGGAAAGAACCAGACAGCGGTTTAACCTGCTCATGTGTTCTTACTCTGATTAATCTTGGGGGGGGAGACAGGGGCTGAACACTTGGTCATCAGCTCGTCTCCATGCCAAAAATACAAAATACAGATTGCATTTGGTAGCATAGGTCAGAGCTCTTGCAAGTTTATTATTATATGCGTTGGGAAGAAAATAACCTACAAATGATGAAGTGTTGCCAAAAATGGAGAAAAGCACCTGATCTGACCCATTTCTGAAATGTTTTTGGTGAGCCTCTCTCCCTGCATTTTCTCCTTAGCAAATTATAAATTGTCTATTAGAGTACTGACTTGTAGTTACTGTATTCTGACTGGCCAAAATACCAGAAACCCCAGTCTAGTGTTGCCTGGCTGGCTTGAGGTGCAGGAGACAGATGTCCACCGCCTTCCCTGGCCAGAACTCGGCCCAGAGCTCCATCCTGCTGACTACTGGAGATGTGCAGTTCAATACCACAAACAGCTGCACTCATCACTGCCTCAGCTGCTGGCAGACTCACAGAAGACTCACAGAGCCATACATGTCCAAATGGGGCTTCACAGATGCTTACAGGAGAAGGAAAAATTTCTGCCTTTCTTGTAATTAGTACAAGATCAGCTCTGTCACCTGAGAAACCGTTAAACAGAAACCCACATCAGGTCTCCTGAAACTGAAGGCACAGTAGACTGCACATGAGATATGGTGTAGTGTCCTCACAGAGATGGAGTATCAAGTTACAGGCTGTGGCTCTCGTGGCAGACATGAGCACCAGATTGTCACACCGAGGTTAGAAGGATAGGGCTGTGTTCTGCATTGTCATGGATCACTGTTGTGCACATGCAGTGACAGATAGAGGCTGCAGATGCAGGTCAAACAAATCTATTTAACAAACGTGTCAGTAAGAGCCAGAAAGGTCATCCTCTTCATTCGGAGTGC